CATTGTCTGGAAGTTAACATGTTTCCAGCTTGATGTTATAATTTGTCAAAGTAAGACCTGACAGTCTATGGATGGAAAGTCGTTAGTCAGAATTTCATCCAAGCCTCATATTTGGCAGTTAGTCGTATATCTATGTCTGGAAAATGAATTTATATTAAACACCTGGTAAGTGAATCTACAGTTCCGTCCTACTTTCATTTTAACGGGTTTGTCGTAAATGTCATAAGCCAAAAGTTTCTTTATCTTGAACTTAATATTTCTTGTGATATACGCACGCACGCACACACAAACACACACGAGCACGCGCGCAAACACATACACACACGTATGTATTTATATATGTATGTATTCTTTATATATATATATATATATATATATATATATATATATATATATATATATATATATATATATATATATATATATATATATATATACATACACCTTCTTTAAATCGAAGATTACACGTTCCTTTTAACTATCTTGAGATGTAATTGTTTAGCCCGCCTTAACGGAAGTTGATCATAGCGACCTCTTTGGCTTCCATGTTCGTCAGAACACAGGTTTATTTTAGGTCTTTTATAATTAAATAAATGCCATCGTTGTTGATGCTCATGGCAAGATTGACATACAGACATCGTTTCCATTTAACTTTATATGATGTGTTTTCAACACGAAACAATGAATACAAAAGAAGAAAAGAATAAACACCACCAATATTGTACTCATGACTAACCTAAGTAAATCGGTCTCTTTTTAAGCAATTGAAATACAGTATTTCACCTGGGAAGAGAAAGAAAGAAATATTATAAAAAGTGCAAGTTTTCTTTTTAACGAAAAATATCACATCAAGAAAATTCTCTAGACATTTTGAATTTTAAAAAGTAAACGAAGCTCAACGATTCTGCACATGTACCTGCGTGATCTTTACATTTAATTTTTAACCAGCTATATCATGTCTGTTAATGTTAATTAACTCTGCAATCAGAGAATTTTAATTTGTGAAATTAAATTTGTATTTATTGATTTTTGTTTGTGCATGTTTCTTGTAACTTAATATTTATTTTGACATGTTTAAAGTGATCACGCGTCCTGGATTTCTTAGGAAATGGGATGTTATCATTTACGAAATAATTATGGTAAAAAATAAAAAAAAAAGAAATGGTCATTAAATAAATTAGGCTTTATATAAAATTTATGACTAATAAACAACATATTAAACAATTCAAAGCCTTATAAAACCAGCTAGCTTATCAAACAAAACATAAACTTTCATCGTCAGCGTCGTTATCATAACCATCAACAATTGCAACAACAAAAAGCTTATTATGTCTTGAAGATCATGCTATGCAAGGAACAACCTAATGTAAGAAAAGAACGCAAAAAACGAATCGGAATAAGTATTTTACCTAAGAAAACTAACACATACATTCTTAAATTATTTTATTAGTATTAGTGTGTATTGAAACATCAGTTTAATTTTATTCTTGATTAATGCATTTATAAACAAAATATGCATAGAAATGTGAAAAACGTAATTAAAAAGAAAAACAAGTATAAACAAATAAATGGAAAAACAATTAAACATGATTAAATAGGAAAAACAAATAAAAAATAATTAAATAGAAAAACAATCAAACGTAATTAAATAGAAAAAAAGTGGTTAATCTAGTGAATGACCTTATCATCGCCTGATGTGAACCACGACGTAAACCGCTTGATTAGAAGTGTAAATTGATTCTTAAGTGGACAAATATAATAAAATGTAAAAGTTTGTCTTGATTTAAAGGCTTCTAAAAAATATCATCCGACAATGCTACAAGCACCATAGACTACGTCAAAGTTAATATCGTTCAAAGATCCCTACGATTTATTATAAATATCTATTCTAACTTTTTGTACATATCTTGTATAATAATATCTCCTTTAAACAAATTAACATCATGTTTAAAAAGATGTTATTTGTTTAACAGTATATTGTTTAAAGAAAAGAAGAACTTTTACAAAATAATATCTCGTTTAAACAAAACAATATCTTGTTTAAACAAAAATATATTGTATAAATAAGATATTATTTTAAACAAACAAGATAATATTTTGTTTAAATAAGATTTGATTTCATTCAAGCATTGTATTATTTCGTTTAAACATAATAATAGCTTGTTTAAATGTAATATTGTTTTGTTTAAGAAAGGAAATATTTTAAAAATTCGTGGTACTATCCAGCCTTCATAATTTAATTATGTGTTTGAAAGCTTAGTAATACAAAAAATCGTAAGTCCAGATATAAGGGTATAATTCCAAGTCAAATAAAGGCATCCACCAAGTAAAATATTAACGAATTAATCGTAAGTCCAGATATAAGGGTATAATTCCAAGTCAAATAAAGGCATCAACTAAGTCAAATATTAACGAAGTAATCGTAAGTCTGGATTTAAGGGTAACAGTCCAAATCAAATAAAGGCATCAACTAAATCAAATAGTAACGAAGAAATAGAACCTAATCTTAATCTTACTCAAATTCTAAGTTCGATACCAGCACACGTCAGTCAGACTGTCTCTGTACTTGGAAGACGCACGTCGTTCCAGTTTCCTGCCAAATTCTGACATGTTTGTATTAGACAAGCTAAATAAATAAATACGACGACGACGAAGTTAAGAATATATGCATCAGGTAATTCTGTACAAGGCACTTTTAGGCTGCTTCACAAATAGACGTGCTAAGTTTTAAAGTTATGTTCCAGGAACGATCTAATTATTCCAACAGGAAGAATGCTTTCGATGACAGTGTAAAAAGCCCCTAACACTGGAATTTTTTTATTTTTATTTTCAATGACATTATTAAAAGTCCCCAACACTGGAAAATTGTTCTTTTTCTTATTGTAGGTAAACTGCATGCAGCTTGACGTGTATTCCAGGTTTCATCAATGTAATGAACCGGATTCGTCGGTGGTAAAATTTGTCCAATGTGCCGCTTTCTCCCGCGGTAATATCAACACATTCAATAAACAATTCTTCGTAGCAACAGCACAATTGAGGCAAAGGAGTCTGATAAGAAAGATTGAATACCAGATTTCCTGAAATGATCAAATTTCGACAATTTACATTTTTGTTTCCATGGGAACATTAAAATTACTATCAAACGTTTATACCTTTTGGTCACTATTATGATAGGAATATATGTACATCGTTTCCGGAAACAGTAAAATTTAGCCAACATGTGACGTGTTTCTCCATTTGCATCGAAACATTCATTGATGCTAAAAACATCTCCAGCTCACACGGTCATATAAATACCAAGATTTTAAGGGGTTTTTGTATGCGTTTTGGAAACCAGAGTGCAGGGTTAGAACAACATCTTTGCAAATAATGCCGATTACTTTTGTTTCCAGATATTGATTGTGCGTTTACAGGGAATATAATTTAAAGAAACGTACACCCCACCCCCGGGAAGTATATAGAAATAACAAATAGCATCGCCTATAATTGTTCTTTGGTATTTTTATCCGTTTCATCACACATGTTGCCTTATTTTAATTATTATCTAATGTTTGGAAAGAAAATTAATAAACAGCAACAGAAAGTCAAAGGCAATGCAAATTTAAGATGCTGAAGAAAATTCCATGCCTTTGATTTTCTACCCGCATTTTCGCAATTATGATAATAATAAAAAATCTGTACATGTCTCCAGTCTGAAATTGTGATGGACTGACAGAACCCACTTCCATATCCCGCACGAATTTTCATAGGCGGAGTATAATTACATTCCTAAAGTCATTAATGATAAGTTAACAAGTTGGTCATGGGACGATTAATTATTTAAACGATGAATGTCCGCCAGAATGAATGCATTTTTGTTCTGAGTTTATTGGTATCTGTCAACGTGAAGTAATGTCCATGTATCAGTGTCAACATTTTTCATGTCTAACTATATTTAATTTCATATTGTGTCACTCTTTGGTCAGATACGGACAAATGTGTATGTATATGTCATCAGATCCTGCTAGGCGCTAGCATAATTAAACCTCGGTGTCCGGTTGTTATTACATAGTATAGTCCCTAAGTAAAAACAAATACATACAAGTAAATTGAATTATTGCCATAGGAAATGCTTCCACAAAAACTATACCAACATAATATATTTAGCAGTCTTTCACTTTTGCCATACAATATTTTCCAATTTTAACGTTTTGGTCTTACCTTTCAGAGTTAGCATTTCATCACAGAAATGAATTTGTCAGAGATTAATTTTTTATCATTGCATTTGGAACAGTGTTTTTCATGATTTTTTTTTTTTTGTTAATCCCACATTAGAGGAAAATCTAGACATAGCGGTTACCTTTTCGTTGGCATCGGCGGCAACACCAGCGTCAAGTTTAATTAAGAATATTGGTCACATACTCTAAAGTCAATGTAGGCTAGATCTGCAGACCTTGACCTAGACCAGGTCGCGGTCGATTCGTCTACAATATTAATACACACACACACACACACACACACACACACACACACACACAAACACACACATGCAAATTCCTGCTGGATAAATGGAGATTTTAATTGGATAAAACAGGCTCTGGTGACAACTTTCTAGTACTACACAAAAAAATACATTAAACGTTTTCATTTGCACAAAATGCATCATTAAACATCCTAGGTTTTCATTATTTTTAACAGAGGTGTAGTTGCTTTACAAACATATACAGAACTCTACACAATTCCATGGCAACGGAATCCTTGGACCAGGGTCAAAATAAGATGTGAAGTGATTATGATTTGTAACGTAGCTGTACAAAAATTTCAGTCATATCGTTACGATGTCTTCAGTGTGGCAGTTTATAGTGATATCTAGCAATGGGGCATCATGCCGCAGACATGTAGCATTATGTCCCACCCAGTCGCATTATCCTGACACCAGGCCGACCAGTCCTAACACTAACCTCTTAATGCTGAGCGCCAAGCAAGGAAGCTATTAGTACCATTTTTGTAAGTCTTTGGTATGACTCGATCGAGGATCGAACCCACGACCTCTCACATCCGAGGCGGAAGTTCTAACCACTAGGCCACCAGACTTATTTAGTCTTGAAAAAGGGGCCCTCCATTGTACTGAAGAAAAATGTGATATCTTTAAGAAGGCATTAAACTTCTTAGTTTAACAAATTGTTATTCATTTATAATATTGTAACTGATTTTGAACTTCTTAAAAGAATCACAACTTTACTGTGCTGAAGTTCAGCTTTCTTGGTAATGTTACTAGTATATTTAATAATATTTATTCATGTTTTAAATCAAAATCAAGGCAAGTCTGTGCATCAGTTGGTTTTTACTGTATAGAACCCAATTTCTTGGTTTGTTAAAGTTTTCTTGCCATAACGTTCTTCTTAAGCAAATGAAATATACTTGGTGGGTTTTTATATGTGTGTGTGTGTGTGTGTGTGTGTGTGTGTGTGTGTGTATATATAATTGTATAATTGTGTGTGTATATAATTGTGTGATTTGGACTTTCCTGCACACTGAAGATAGAATAAACAATCTACATAAATATAGTGTGCATTTATTACATTCACATGTGGATTTTCATCCGCATTTTTTTTTGTGCTGTTTTCTACATTTAACTTTATATTTGCAATACTCTCTAGCTTTAGGTAAAAATGTATCCAGTGGAAGTGTCTATGCCGACACTCTTGTTTTTAGAGGAATCAGACAAGTGTGTCCGATTAAAGTCAAGTAAAACAGTAGGACTGGGCTTTGCATCTGACAAGTATTCTGAGAGTTATGCCCCTTACACAACAAATCTGCTTTAGGACTCGACTAATTTAGTTCCCATTGTAAACTTATGTAAATAATGTGCTATTAAAAATTCAATAACTTTAAATTTCTAGATGAGCTTGATCAAAAATATTGATAAATCTAGACATATCTTTGATTTACAGCTTCTGTGTAGAGAAAAATGTTTATTTAGGTCACTTTTACCATTTCTCCGAAGTCCTATTTAGGAATCAAAACTGATATTTCAATTCCCACGTAATTAATTTAGCACTGATAATTGGCACATCGATTCGATTTTTTTTAGGCTTACATCAAATTAAGCTTGCTATTCCACATCTAAGGAAAGCTACTCCGTATTCCAATCTGATTCAAATTAGCTTTACATTGTCCTGCGTGAAGATCTGACAGCGACCATTTTAGGATTCGTGTTCTGGCATCCTTTGAATTAGTAGAAACGCAGCTTTCAGAATTTTTAAGTGAATCAAATCGTTCGGCACATGATGTTCTTCAGCCATACTGCTCTGACCCCCATCCAAATGCGAAGGTATGATTAGCTCACAAAATTAGCAATCATGGTAACAACACGAGTCACCAAAACATGATCCCTAAGCGTTCGCTGTCCGAGCTCCACGTTGGACTTTGGAGAATTGATTTTAATGAGATTTCCGCGTTTTCCAACGTTACCTCATGGCCGTGATTGCACTAAATTGAATACCGTATTCTCACGAGGTTATCAGCTGACTCATTACCCAGGCCGATGATGTAATAAATTTATACATGTTGCTAGCAAGACATTTATAAATGTAGATATTATAAAGAAATACCTAATTTGTCATATTTAATACAAGCAAAAAAAAAAAAAAACAAACCCAAATTAACTTTCATGTCGACGGCAACAAGTACACTTATTACTTACCTCAGGGGTTTTCAAACTGTGGTCCGCGGACCCCTTTGGGGTCCGTGGCATGTTGCCAAGGGTCCACAAGCAGGTCCCAAAAATAATAAAAATAGTACATTTGCAATGGCTTCATTATCATCAACAATTATAAAAACAACCGAGTACTGAGCGTGTATTCCGTATTGACTCTATTCTATTCTATGGTTATTACTTACTAATGTCTTCCATGCATTACATAAAATAATAATAATATCGATCGGCCAAATTTAATGGATAGGCTGATAGGGGTCGGCCATCTGACCACGACATGCTACGGGATCCACAGCATCAAAACGTTTGAACACCACTGACTTACCTTGTACGCTTAAGGACACAGGATACTGGCCTCATTTTTGTGAAACTGTTACATAAATGTATGTATGTATGTATGTATGTATGTATGTATGTATGTATGTATGTATGTATGTATGTATGTATGTATGTATGTATGTATGTATGTATGTATGTATGTATGTATGTGTGTGTGTGTGTGTGTGTGTGTGTGTGTGTGTGTGTGTGTGTGTGTGTGTGTGTATGTATGTATGTATGTATGTATGTATGTATGTATGTATGTATGTATGTATGTATGTATGTATGTATTGATATGGGTAATGTTGTAGATTTGTATATATGTAGATATGTATTTGGATGTGTTACTGCTGCTGATTGTTATGAAAGAATTTATAGGCATTAATTAATAACCAATATTAGCAATATTTTTTTGGCATTATTTAACACAATTTTGTTACTAAAGAAATCATATTGTTCTCCCGATCGAGATGCACCTTTATCCACTATTAAAACTTGAACAAAATTTTCAGTCGATGTTGTCAAGCTAACTGCGGTGGCCATGACTGGTATTGCTATAAATTTTCCTTAGAAACATATTTGAACATTTAACATAAGGGTAATTCTTCATTTGGTTTTTGAATTGGGTTTTTTCAATATTTTTTTCTACAACATATAGCCTAACTTTATAGGTATTATTTTAACAGGTCGCCCGGTTTAAGTTCAATCTGTTCCTGTTCCAAAAGTACGCATGGTCCTTGTCAAAACGTGATATTGCTTTGAAAAATCATTAACAAGATTTATACCATCATCGCTTGTCAGAATCTGTCATATAATTATCATTTGCATCGCTTATCAGAATCCGACATATTATCATCATTTGCATCGATTTTCAGAATCCGACATGCAATCATCATCATTTGTACGATCTTCAATTCAGTAATCAAAATCGTAACCACCCTACTCAGTTTTTAATTCTTCACTTTCCCCCCACCTTCTTTCTATACCTCCCCATCCCAACCCCCACCATACCATCATTGGTTTAAACAGATCATACACTTTACATTGAGGTCAGAAAGTAAGATGTGTTTTCAAACAAACTCCAAACAGCAAACAACAGTTTTCAGGCATTTGCTTTTTTAAAATAGTTTTTAAAATATTTTTTTAAAATAGTTTTTTAAAATAGTTTTTAAAAAAAAATATTTTTTAAAATATTTTTTAAAATAGTTATGACTCATATGACATTTCTTCATTACTGTTGATTGCAAACCGAAATTAAGTGACTATCGAAATTTGGGTTCAGCTTCTACTACGACTGCTCGTTTGTGAACACTACGTTCAAATGGAAACCTAAACAAAATCAATAATCAGTGTATTGATAGGCAAACTCAAAATCATTACAATCTTGCGCAAACGAGTTTATGTTTAAAGGTTTCTGGCTCTGTGATGTTTTACCTTAGCCCTAAAAATATTTTAAGTTTTAATTGACGCAAAACAAATGCGTTAACAAAATCAGTCAAAAGTTTGGCAGCATACACAGTGCGGAAATACATACGTAGAAAATAAATAGGTCAAAAATCATTTTCCAAACTTATTTCTAGAGTTAGAAACTTATTTTATACATCTTTTGATATAGACATTAACCTCAATGGCACAGAGCAAAAATCATGTAAGCCTGCAGTTTTTGTACTCAGAATATATAATCTAACAAAAAAGTACGCTTACAGAAGTAGATGAAAGAAAATAGTTCACTCACGAAATGGAAACATTTTGTGTTGTCACTCTTTGTTCTGCTACTCGCGAAAATATAATATTTCGCCTTCACTCGTGAAATATGTCTTTAGATATCTTGAAAAAAGTAGATATTCTCTATTTATTTCCCAAATCACAAATTCTTGTTGGCAGATATCTTAGAATTTTATTAGGATGACATCATATCCTTACGCGACATCAATTGTGACGTCACAATGTGTTATTATATTTAAATATAAAATTATGAAATGGGTGAAATAACCTAAATAACAAATCAGTCATATTATAACGTGAATATATGCATATTAAAACTACAATTTAAGAAAAGTATTTAAAATTTAAATTAAGATTGGTATAATTATGGTATTTTTGGATAGCGTAATTTGATTTTTTTTAACGAAAGACGTAATGTATATATTCACTTCAATTATGGTGTCTAATAGTTTTGAAAAATGACAATTTTAGCATAACATAAAAAAAACAATGCCTTTCTAAATTTGAAACTATTTATCGACTTCCTTCATATATGGACTTTATGGCGATAGCATTATTTGATCTTTACCTAATATCTGTAGCAACGACTTCATTCATACATTATCTTACGTGTAGGTGTTGCTGGGTGGGGTTATTGTTTAAGAATTGGGTAACCATACGTGTTATTTTAAAATTTTAATTCACCAAATTCGATATTTCCACCAGTTTTGGCTTATGCTTTTAACAAGGTTGTTCAAAACTAAAACGTTATTTTTTCTGCAGCAGTCAATTCATATTGTATACAGTATTCTGTGCAACCTGTATTAAAACCAATGACTGAGAAAAGGTTATCCCCAGATTAATATCAATTTTTTTATCTTTAAATCACTAAATAAAATTATTCATTGTCACAAGAGGTTCCATTCACCAAAAATTTACTTGAATGCATTCAAACGTAACGTTTTAACAAAAAATAGTAATATTTAATCAATTCATTACATACAAGAAAGGTAATCAGTAGAATTTATGCAGTTGAAAAATGCTTTAATTCGAAAAGCTTATTGTATGACACTAATAAACATAATGTGAGGCTTTTTGTTGTTTTGTTTCAATAGTAACAATTTGAAATAGACGCTTTAACTTTTTCATCCTGTTAGCGAAGACAATTATATATCAAATATCATGTTCTGTGCCGTTAAAAGGGCGTATGGGAATTCCCCAGCCCTTAATAATAATAATAATAATAATAATAATAATAATAATAATAATAATAATAATAATAATAATAATAATAATAAAAATAATAATAATAATAATAATAAAAATAATAATAATAATAATAATAATAATTATTATTATTATT